GATAGATAGATAGATAGATAGATAGATAGATAGATAGATAGATAGATAGATATAGGAAGGTAGGTAGGTAGGTAGGTAGGCAGGCAGGCAGGCAGGCAGGCAGGCAGAATAGAATAGAATAGAATAGAATAGAATAGAATAGAATAGAATAGAATAGGAATAGGAATAGGGATAGAATAACAGAGTTGGAAGGGACCTTGGAGGTCTTCTAGTCCAACCCCCTGCTTAGGCAGGAAACCCTATACCATTTCACACAAATGGTTATCCGATCTCTTCTTAAAAACTTCCAGTGTTGGAGCATTCACAACTTCTGGAGGCAAGTTGTCCCACTCATCCAAAGCACCGGGCCTCACCCAAATTCCAAGCTCGTCTTAGTTACCTCCCTCAATTCAACACCAATTAACTATTAAGGTCTTTGCTTGATCCCAGCCACCTACTTGTCTTGGCTGTCCCGTTTGCGATTCTTCTTACACCGGCGGGCCATCCGTGTCTTGGAACTATTCTTGCGAGCGGGGCCCTCTCTGATGCTAGTGTTCTCCAGGGCAGTCGTCCTCAGTGACACCTTATTTCCACTCTGCAAGAGGGACACAATGGAGAGCTGTGGGACTCTCCCAAAAGGCCATCCTTGAAAGGATAAGCCCCCACCACTCACAGAAATGCCATGGATAGAACACATTCACATTACAGGTAATCCTCGAGTTACAACTATTTGTTTAGCAACTGTCTTAATTACAACGGCACTGAAAAAAGTGACTTTTACAATGGGTCCTCACACTTATGACCATTGCAGCATGTCTCCAGACACATGATAAAAATTCAGGCACTTGGCAATCAGCATGTATTCATGATAGCTGCAGCGTCCTGGGGTCTTCTGGTTGCCATTTGCAACTTTCCCAGCCAACGTCCGACAAGCAAAATCAATGGCCAGATTCGCTTAATGACCATATGATTCACTTAACTGCAGTGATTCCCTTAACAATTGTAGCAAACAATGTGATAAAATCAGGTGCAATTCACTTTATAATGGCTTTGCTTAGCAAATTCTAGTCCCAATTGTAGTTGTAAGTTGAGGACTACTTGTTTTGGACCAAGCAGAGTAACGGTGCTTGGAAATTACTTCTGAAACCCATTTTGTTTTGAACTTTTCATAGATATCTTTTGAAAGGCGTTCCATCAGTTTTTCCATCAGTTCACAGTTTTTCAACATTTGTACTTCCCGTAATAGGATTACAGCCATTATTTGCTATTTTATGATTCTCCTGTTGCATGTATAATAAACCTTCTTTCTTTATCACAATATTGACTTGTGGTCTTCTTTCCGGCTGAAGATACATACCTTCAGCAACAGTTCTACGACATCCATGTGAACCAAACCCAGGACCGACTCCCCGTTTACATGAGTGATGAGATCTCCAGCTCTGAGTCCTGCATCATGAGCTGGGCTCCCGTCTTCTACATTCTATGATAGAAATAAACAGACAGATCATCATCCATGAATTTTTGTGTGTGCAAATCCACTGGTGTCTGAAAATATTTGCTTGAACAGGAAGGTGGAGAATTAAATATGCAAGCAGCTTTCTCTTTCACAGACCTCTCCAGTCACTTCATTTGCTCCCAATCCAAGCAGAAAAGACGAGCTCCCAGTAAAAACCATGTTTCAGAATTCCAGCTTGGAAATAAAGTGAACTTGGGATTCTGACTTGGTGCACAACCCATGCACTGGTTCAGCTACTGCTTTGATGTCTTTGATTGTCCTTGTTGAATTTTTAATTATTCTTTGGTAAATCACTTTGGAAATTTCATGGAGTGGGGAGATTTGAATTTTAAAAAAATGCATGTCTGTTATGGGTGAGATTATTAGCCCAGGATCAAAAGTTCTGCTGTGGTTGCATTTTGCAATTAAAATCAGGTTCATAAGCATATTGAGACCTTAACTTTTACCAGAAGCCTGAGTTGTAACACATACCATACTTCTTCAGATCATCAAAGAGAAAGTGAACTAAAAGAGGTTCAGCACAAGTAGAAGTACCCTAAGATGGAATCCACAACCCTAACCCTAACCCTGGTGATTTGTAAGTATTTTGTTGCTGTTTTTCTATTGGGATTGAACTGGAATCTTTCAACCTATTCTTCATATCCACTTGGTAGAATGCCTGGCCTTGTTTTTGGAAAGCCTGAACCACATTAGGAGTTAAGTAACTCTGCGTTTCTGTTTTCAGTTATCCTTTTGCTAACAATTACCTGGCTAGGAATTTATGACTAGAAAACCCGCCAAGTGTCCTTCAAAAAAAACCAAAAACCCACATTCCTGATTCTCCTCCAACATGTTCTTTTTCAGCAAAGGGATTTAGGGAGCAAAAGATGCTTCCTGGTGATTATTAGGAGCATTGCAAATCATCTGCAGATCTGCCAAAGTGACAATCTCACTTTAATTCACTGTTGAATTAAAGGATTTCAGTCCCAAAGATGGGGAATGACATTTTCTATCTGAAGCTCTAAGATCAGTTACGGTAGAACCCTAAACTGGAAGCTGAATTATCCGGTCGACAAGCCCCCCTTTAATTCTATGGTTCTTAACAAATCATACAAAGCAATGTTCTTTTTAGGTTAATAAAACCTCAATGGCTGGGTTCATGCCTTAATGTAAGCCAAACAAGCTATTTTCACTCCCCATTCAAGCACAACACTTTATGGCTCAACTTACGATTGTTTTCTCCCACATTATTAACCATTATTTCTGTAACTTTGATTAAACAAACTTTAGGGACCTAATCCACATATAAAGCTAGGCTAGGATGATGCATTACCAAATTCCTACCCTGAATCTTAGTAACATCCATGCCTACGTTATGGTTTTAAACAACCCTGAACTAGGTGATCCTAACTAGCTTTCCTATGTCCCCAAATTCTTTTTCCATCATCTTCAATCAATCTGAGAGAAAAGTGTGTGGTCTTGGCTTACCCAAACCATGTGGTGCACAGTGTAAACATCACTGTCGCCCATGTAGACACGGATGGCCCTCAGTGAAAAGCCATATTTCTTCCCCGAGCTGTAGATGACAATGGGAGGCCGCAGACTGGAGCCACCAAGCATGGAGTCCCGACTTGGGGAAGAGTCACGGGATGAAGGATTGGAAGAGAGGGAACGGGGTGAGATGGGGCTCCTGAGAACAGCCCCACTAAAGTCGTCTGTTTTAAAACAAAAAAAGGAAGAGGGAGGCACAATGACAAGGGTGAGATAACTAAATTACAGTATTACCAATCTCCAAAGGAAAATAAGCAAGCAGATAATGGAAAACTTTCTCTTTTTCTCTTTCTCACTGCATTTCTGTATCACCAACATTTCCAAAACATCCAAAAAGAAAAAAGAAAGGAAAAGAAAAAAACCAACCCCCCACCCCCCTTAACAACTCAAAAATCCAAAAACAATCCTTTACTTACAGTCCTTGACTTATGACCACAATTGAGCCCAAAATTTCCATTGTTAAGCAAGACAGCTGTTAAGACAATTTTGCCCCATTTTATGACTTTTCTTGCCACCGTTGTTAAGTGAATCACTGTAGTTATTAAGTTTTTAACAGGGTTGTTAAGTGAACCTGTCTTGCCCATTGACTTTCCTTGTCAAAGGGTCGCAGATCTCATGATCCTGGGACATTACAACCATCATAAATAAATGCCAGTTGCCAAGCACCCAAATTTCGATCAGGTGATCATGGGGATGCTGCAGCAGTCATAAATGTGAAAAATGGTCATACGTCACTTATTACAGTGCCATTGTAATTCTGAATGGTCACTGAACTACAATAACAGAATAGAATTCTTTATTGGCCAAGAGTGATTGGGCACACAAGGAATTTGTCTTGGTGCAAATGCTCTCAGTGTACATAAAAGAAAAGATACATTCGTCAAGAGTCAAGAATCATGAGGTACAACACTTAATGATAGTCATAGGGTACAATAAGCAATCAAATCATACTAGGAAACAGTCAATATAAATCGTAAGGATACAACCGACAAAGTTACAGTCATACAGTCACAAGTGGGAGGGGATTGGGTGATAAGGTGTGATGAGAAGATAAATGATTATGATTCCTCCCCATCCGTGCAATCTTTCTAATGGAACTTTTTAAGAATCAGACTTTTTTTTTTAATAAAAGGAAGCTACACAAAAGGATCTCCAGCCACTCTCTCGCCATTCCTTGGTTGCATTTACAAGCTCCCACTAAGGCTCTTAAAAGACTTCTAAGATATCTCGAACTCAGTGCGGCCGCAGTGGTGTGTTTAGCCCTGTTTTATCCGCTTCTGCACTGCTAGAACCACTTGTGCTGGGAATAGACCAGGAATTAATTGTCCCACTGACCTGAATTGATGATAAGCGATAATGCAGAAACCGAAGCTGACTTTGGCACTCTGCCATTAGAAGATGCTGGCTGCTTCCCTGCGGAATCCTTGTGGGGCCGATAACTGCCCTCACGGTCCAAACATCTTGAGGTAGAGCTCTTAGTACCTGTGCTGTTGCTCCTGAGACGGACACGGTTCAAGCTGGCCAGGTCAGCTAGAAAGAAAAGAAAGGGACCTTTAGCATCCTTAGCTTTGGGACGGGATATTTGGATTCAGAAGGTCCCACGACCCTTGCTCTCATTTCCATGTGGGGATGGAGAAGATCTGTCTGAAATGCTGCAGAGCCACTACTGGTCACTGTAAACCAGTGTTTCTCAATCTTGGCAACTTTAAGTGGCATGGACTTCAACACCCAGAATTCCCTAGCCAGCATGATTGCTGGAGAATTCTGGGAGTTGAAGTCCATGCCTCCTAAAGCTGCCAAGACTGAGAAACACTGATGTAGACAATTGCACGTTTGATGAAACAAAGATCTGAGTTTGTATCTGGGTTAACTGAACATGCTAAATCCTAACCCCAAATTCACCCAACACAATTCCTGTGTTCACATCACATACCATTCTCAAACCAAGAAATATGTATGCAATGGCTTGATTCTTTGCACCAATGCCAGTTTAGTATTCGAGAAAGTTGGGTTGCTTGGGATTCAGCATGTTGTGAGAACCAGGCCATTCACATCAGGGCATTGTACTAAGCCATCAGAATGGCGGGGTTGCTGTTTATTTATCTAGGTTAAGAATGTTATGTGAGAATGGAAATTAAATTTGGTTAATTCAGGTTGATATTTTAATAGGCTATGGGAACCCTTTTGGTATAAAGCAGAATCCTGCATTTTCCCACATTTATCCTGGCCCTCTTCTTCCTCTCTTATTTTCATTGATCTCTGGGACTCAGAAAAGTTCTCTCATTCTTTGCAAAAGATCACTACTCTTAAATTAAATCAATTAAAAAGCTAAATCGAGTCACCAAATAGAAAGCTCATGTTCAGAAACAGTTTATCTCCACACATACTAGCTGCGGAAGGTAAAGTTTGAAGATAGTTCATGGAACCAGTTTCATCTAGTGCAGAGGTCTCAAAACTTGGCAACTTTAAGACTTGTGGATTTCAACTCCCAGAATTCTCTAGCCAGCATAGCTTTTATAGAAGGACGGAAGTGCACTGGATGTGTTTGCCACTTGGAGTATTTGTAAAAATAATTAATGCAGGATACAGATATAAACAATCAAATGAATAATACCCCCACAAACACCACAATTATTAATAAGATATATCAATGCGCAGAGATGGACAGATTAACAAAATTATTGAAGGATAAAAAAGAATATTCTAAAATATGGGATGTTTGATACAAATGGATAATAATAAGACGCAAAGGTGTCAAATGATCTATGTAATACTATAAAAGTAAACAATAAGGTTTTTGTATAAATAAATGTAAATAAATAAATATATATATATATATATAAATGCCTAGAATAATGATGAATCAAATACAGAGATGTATAACATGTTAATAGAAGATATTTACAATGTAAACACTGCTATAGTAACATTGTAAAGTGCAGAAATTTATTTTTGAATGTTAAAACATTGAATAAATAAATTTATTTTAAAAAACAATCAAATAAATAAGACAGGCCTGCTTGCGACATTATTGGCAGTCACCAAATGCAGGAGATTGGACTAAACTTGGCAAATGTTGCTGCCATTGTGGGCTTCACCCGGGATGGTATCCAGAGATATCTTGCTCTCACCTGCTAGTGCTGAGCCCTTACTGGGTGTCCTTGGTGCTGCCATCTCAGAATCTCCAACAACAAACTTGGGGCGCTCCTTTTTGGTTTTCCCCCGGCAGGGGCTCTCATCCTCAGAGGACAAGGCAAATCTGGGCATTGCTTCTAGGCTGCAGGTGCTGCTCAGGATGGCAGGATTGCGGCTGAACTCTTGACGGAAGGAATGGACAGTGGAGCCACAGGAGGTCCAGGCACGAAGCCTGCATGAGCGACAAAAAAAAATAAATGGAGGACATCTGCAGGGAGAGAACTATGGAAGACTTCCTTGCAAAGCAAACATATCCCCTCTATAGAGGACGGTCCACTACTTTCTTTTCCAGTTTGTTTATGTATTGATCAAACTTATATTATCTAACTGTCCCTTTCTATCTGAGATAGTAAGGTAAAGATTCCCCTCACACATGCATGCTAATCATTTCTGGCTCTAGGGGACGGTGCTCATCTCCATTACAAAGCCAAAGAGCCATCTCCATGGTCATGTGGCCTGCATGACTCAATGCCAAAGGCGCACAGAACGCTGTTACCTTCCCACCAAAGTGGTCCCTATTTTTCTACTTGCATTTTGTATGTGCTTTCGAACTGCTAGGTTGGCAGAAGCTGGGACAAGTAATGGGAGCTCACTCCATTATGTGGCGCTAGGGATGAGATCGTAACTCATTCAAAACAATTCAGCGAGCTTGGGAGACTTGAATATGTCTCTTCCCAGTCCTGCATTCTAGCTACTACAGCACGCAGCACTCGTGGAAGTCTGCAAACACTGCAAGATGAACCATGAACAGAGTAACAAGGTCGGGACACACTTTCCTGCTTTGCCTCTTCTGGTGCCAAAACCAAGCTTGCCCTTTGGAATTTTAAGGAAATGAAAGAAACTCAGGAAGCTCCCTAAGTTGTGCAAAGTCCTTCCACTACTCCATTTTGAAAAGGCCAGGTGTGATCCTGTCTGCTCACCTGGTCTCAGTCTTAGGTATCCGGCTCTTCTCCTCATCTCCAGAGCTGTGATCTGCCCTCTCGGTTCTGTCTTCTTTGTCCACACCATGGCCCTGCTCAGAAGACGTGAAACTGAGGTTGGAGGAGTTAGCCAGATATTCACAACTGCTGTAAACCTGGAAGTGGGGAAGAGAGGAAGAAGAAAGATCAGTTGGATACAGGACATACTTATTCTTGTTCCATAGCCAGCAACTGGAGGCTAAAACATATGCAGAATGGTTGCAGGAATTGGGTATATCTAGTTTAATGGAAAGAACAACTGCGGTGACATGGTAGCCATCTTCTAATATCTCAGGGGCTTCCACAAAGAAGAATGGGTCAACTTATTCTCCAAAGCACTTGAAGCCAGGACAAGAAGCAATAGGTGGAAACTAACCAAGGAGAGATCCAACTTAGAAATAAGGAGAAATTTCATAAGTTAGAACAATTAATCAGTGGAACGACTTGCCTCCCAAAGTAGTGGGTGCTCCAATACTACAGGTTTTTAAGAAGAGATTGGACAATCATTTATCTCCAATGGTATAAGGCCGTGATGGCGAACCTATAGCATGCGTGCCACAGGCGGCACACAGAGCCATTTGTGCTGGCACACGAGCTGCAGACAAATTTACCTCACTGCGCATGTGCATGCCTCACAGCTGATTTTTGGCCGGTTTGAGGAAAAACTGGGAAAACAGGAAGTGATGAAGTGGGGCTAGATTTCGGCCTACAAAGCTTGTAGAAGCCTGCAGAAGACTTCCTCAAGCCTTTGTGAGGCCGAAAAAGGCCTCAAACCCACCGAAAATCAGCTGTGAGGTGCAGTGCAAATAAGGGGGCGGCGGGAGTGGGGATTGCATGTGCATGCATAGGGGATGTGGGGGCACGCGCACATTGCCTTCTGGTGCTGGCACGCAAGTGCGAGCGTGCAAGTGCACACACAATTTTTGGCATAGGAGCCCAAAAAGGTTAACCACCACTGGTATAAGGTTTCCTGCTTGAGCAGGGGGTTGGACTAGAAGACCTCTAAGGTCCCTTCCAACTCTGTTATTCTGTGCTTAAGAATAGTTTTGCAATCACATTCCATTATTTTCTTAATAACTTTCTCCTGTGTTGTTATTTTCTCATTTTTCCAGTTTTTAGCAAATACAATCCTAGCCGCTGTTAATACATTTACAATCAAATATTTCAATTCTTTACTATATATTTCAGATAAAATTCCCAATAAAAATATCTCTGGTTTCAAGTCTATATGCTATATGTGCTGAAATGAGTACATTGACATTTGAAATCAGAGAACAAGAAGATAAACAATTTTATAAAATTTGGGATCTATTCTATCAATGGTTAGACAATAAAACATGGTAATGAAATATGTAGATTTTTAGAACATAATAAATATATAAAGATGTATTTTTTAAATTATATCTACAAAATGATTATAGATTTGAGATGATAATATGAACTGTCATAAAACAAATTAAGCAAAATATGGATTATCTTGTAAAACATGAATGAATAATAGTATAGTCAAATGATTAATAATGATATTAATGTATTTAGGAATATTTGATTGACAATATGAGAACATATACAATGAAATTATAATTGAAGACTACAAAGTGGAAGCACAAAACAATTTGTAAACCAACCGACACACTGTATGCACATATATGGAAGATGGTTTGATGTTTTTATGTTGTGTTTGTTTGTTTGTCTTAAAAAAACCCAATAAAACTTTTTTTAAAAAAAGAATAGTTTTGCAATCCATGAGAATATCACCCCAAACCTCCTCCTCCTCTGTGCAGTTCAAGTGTCCCCCATGTTCACCAGCAACAAAGCCAGAAATTTTCTGGCAAACTTCCCCAAAGAAGCCCCTTCCCAACCTTGCTGAAACGTTGGGAGCAGGAAGAAAACTGGCGAATCTCTCCACAGGATTCCTCATCCTGGATTTTCTCATCATCAGAGCCCAAATGCCGGTAGCGCTCTGAGCGAGCTGGAAGAAAGAGAAGGTTGAAGAAAAGGAACTCAGACATTCACCAGATCTGCCCTGTTTAGGAGCTGCTATAGTGTGTACGGTAGCCTTCTTCATAGTCTCTAGAGGCTTTGGGGCTCTACCCAGAATTCTCCAGCTAGCTAATCAGCCAGCAAACCAGCCAGCTATTTGTAAAATTATGGGAATGTCAATCTAGAGAGTACCAAGACTGCTATAAGCAGTGAAACAGTCCTAAGGGTAGCCCCCATCCCAATCTTTCAGGATACCTTAAGAGCCCCTTCTGGGATTCAGGGTTGCAACTCGGCCATCCAACCAGTACAGCCCTCCCCATCCTTTCTCTCTTCATCTGGGATGCCTTACTGTCAAAGTAACTGGTGTCATCTTCAGCCTCCAGCTGGGGGATAAACTCAGCTTTCTGCCTCAGCAGCCCATTCCAATCCAAATGGTGGAAGAAGGGATGGTACTTCACCTCATGAGCACCTCCTAGAGATGGGAAAGAAGGAATCCAAGTCACGGAGAGCTGGTCACTGGGGCAGGGGAGCCATAACGTCTCAACTTGTGCCATAGCTTTAAGTACAGGTAGTCAGTCCTTGACTTAACGTCCACAATTGGGACCAGAATTTTTATTGCTAAGGAAGATGGTTGTTCAGTGAGTCGTGCCCAACTTTTTTGTCATGGTTGCTAAGTAAATCGCTGCAATGTTAAATCAGGGGTGTCACACTCGATGTCATTGAGGGCCACATCATGTTTGTGTTTGATCTTTTGGGGAGAGCGTGGCCAAAGTGGGTGTGGCCAACATGACGACACTTGTGTTGGAGGGCATCTGTGGTGGCCTGAGCGCTCTGCCAGCAAACACGAGCTCCTGAGCTCCTTTTTCGGCTGAGACAGCCTCCTGCAACCCTCTGCCAGCGAAAACGGAGCTTGGGAGGGCCATGCGTGGCCCTTGCGAGCTCAGTTTTTGGCTGGGACAGCCTCCTGCTGGTGGAGGCACTGCAGGCCGGTCCTTCAGTATTTTCAGGGCGGCCCTGCGGGCCAGATCTAAGCACCCCACAGGTCGAGTCTGGCCCCTGGGCCTTGAGTTTGACACCCCTGTGCTAAATGAATCATGCTGTTGTTAAGTGAATCCGGTTTCCTTCATTGACTTTGCTTGTTGGAAGCAAAGCTGGAAAGGTTGCAAATAGGGATCACGTCATACCCTACATCCATCATAAGAATTTGTTTATAATGCGCCCAAATTTTGATCACGTGACTGTAGGAATGCTGCAATGGTTGTAAGTATGAGGACTGTTCAGTGCCATTCTAAATTCAAGCGGTTGCTAAACAATTCACATCATTTGAATCAATGACTACCGGTCAGGACCACTTGTACCGGTGCTGTTGTGATACCTGTGCCCAGGCGCTCCAGAGGGCAGTGACGCAGGAGTTGTGTGATCAAATCTTGGGCATCAGCAGGAAGAGCTTCATCCCCCTCAGGCCAAATGATTTCATCTGAAATTAAGGAAGTAAAGCCAAGGCAGTTTTGGAGGGTGCTCCTTGAAATTTTCCCTACCCCAAAACTTTTCAAAAACTTTGATGGAACAAGTGAGTCAGAGCTGTTAGAGAAATTCAAGGAGGAAGAAGAAAAGTATCTTAAAAGTTTTGATCGTGTGGCCCGAGTGGAATCTCCCTGCATAGAGGCAGAAAGATCAACGTCACGTAAGAGAAACTTCTGTTTGGACGAACTTTCCTTTCTTAATTTTTCTCTTCTCAGAATTTAGATTATTTTGGGGTGTGTGGGGGGAAAGCGGTGCTCTAGATGTAAAGTTGGAAGAACATAAGGATGCTCTTCTTAACTCACAGATACATAAAGTTCCACTCTTAATTCTTAGCCTACCTTAAAATATAGAACATCTCTAGTGAAGCCCATCTTATGAATAATGAAATACAAAGTAAACTTTGCTCTTACTTTTTCCTTGAGATCAATCATGCTAGCCAGAAATTCAGGAGATTCCTGAATAAATCTCCTTAAGGTTTGACTCTGAAAATGTCAGACCCCATAAGATTTTTATATCTAACTCAAGGTTGAAATGAGGGTTGAAGGGTTGAAATTAGCGCTCTGTGAATTGTTGGGTTTTTTTTTTCTTTTGCAGATGTTTCATTTCCCAAACTAGGTTAACACCATTTAGTGTAACAAGCAGTTTGCTCTCAGTTTATATTCTGGTGGCTTGCCCTGTCAATGTTGATGGGACTGGTCTTGGTAGTTGTTTGGTTGGGCTGTTTATTGTTAGCTTGTTCGGTAGTTCTCTGATTGAAGTATTGTTTATTTCTTGATTGTTGGTCTGATATTAATTTTGGAGTTAATCTATGGTCACCTGGGTGCTGATTGCTGGTGGGGAGGCATTTTAGTCTTTTTATTCCCTTTTTGGGCTTGCTGATTGTCTCTTTTGCACAGTATGTAGATATTGTTTACGTCTATGTGTCTGTTGATGGCTAATTTGTCAAAAAAGCCAGGCTTCTAGAAATTCTCTAGCAGCAAGTCCAGCAAGGCCTTTCACAAGGCCTTGTGAAAAACTGGTACAGGGGTGCTATTTGCATAGTTGTGTTAAGATCACCAGAGTTCTGACTTCCTGCTTTATTGCACCCTTGGCATGTTTGGGGAAATACTGTTGGTAAGAGAAAGGCAACTCCTTCATCCCTCTTCTCAAGTCCCAGAGTTTCACCTTCACCAATGCAAATGGCAGAAAAGCTCGCCGTTATCAGCCTCACCCCTCTTCCCTCATCACTACTTTGATGGATGGGAATTTTCCAAACGGTGGTGATGCCCAGGATATTCACATATTCTGAAGGTGCCTAACCAAGACATTGCTATTCAGCAGTGTGTCAGAAGAGAGCAGGAAGGAGGGGGAAGAGTCATCAAAGCAGCAAATTTCACACTGGGATAATATTCTTTCCGTTCAAGGACAAGCAGAGTGCACTTCACCTCAGCCCTTAAGAAAGGGCCCTGTGAAGTGGGAAGGCAACCCTGCCCCCGCCCTCCCCCTTCTGTCATCTCCAGGGACACATCACATGCTGAGCGAAGGTCACTGTTGTCTTCTCCAGTTCACTGAGTTTATCTAGCGGATTTCTCAAAGGTTCTTTTGTTCTGCCAGGCATCTGGGACTGGCACTGGCTTGACTTCTGTAATAAATGGGGCCCTTACTGCTTCGTCATTGAATTTCTCTAGCCTCGTAATTCATCTCCCTTCATTAAGGAAAAGCAAACTTACCACTTATCACTTGCCCAAAGAGTTCCTCTGGAGTGTCACCGAAGAATGGGACGCAGCCGACCAGGAACTCATAGAGTATTATGCCCATGGCCCACCAGTCCACTGGCTTGCCGTAGCCTTGGATCAGGATCACTTCCGGAGCAATATACTCAGGAGTACCACAGACCTGCAAAGGGACAGAAAAGAGCATTTCACCTGTTTCTGTGATCAAGGAGGTTTCTTCTTAGGGATGGGATGAGATCCCTGTCTCCCCCGCAAACCCAGAAAGGGCAGAATCAAGAGAGTGAGGACTCCTTCAGAGGGGTTCGTGGCTTCTGGTGTTTGGAGGCCTTTTCCTTTGAATCCAGTAAAACAACCTAGCAGGCCTCATTAGAAGACATGCATGTTCCTTGCCATAAACATCGTACCTGTTTATCTACAAACTCTCGGGTGTCTTTCTCAATGTGGCCCTCATAGAGATTGGTAGTCATATTCATCAAGCCAATCTTGGACAGGCCAAAGTCGGTCAGCTTGATGTGGCCCATGGACGTGATGAGCAAGCTGGAAGAAAGAAAGAAAAAGAGAGGGAGAGGGAGAGAGAGAGAAAGAGAGAGAGAAATGAAAGAGAGGGTGAGGGAGGGATGGAAAAAAGGAAGGAGGGAAAAAGGAAGGGAGTTTGAATGATGAAAGGAATCAACCAAATAGTTCAAAACCTGTAATATTTTTTTTTGTAAATTTTATTTGAGTTTTCATGAAGAGAAAAAAAACACAAATAAAACATCTTTTTTGAAAGTAGTGTAATCCCAGGTTACATTTCTTCATACAGACACAAATTCAGGTTCATGCTCATTTTTATATTCTATTCCGTATCTTATTACTATTTTACATTTTCTGCATAGCTTCTCCCCTTTTTTAATTTTCTCAATTTTATTTTAATTATCTCATCTCAGTTCAAATATTGTATTTATATTTTTTGTCTGTCCTGTTTCAATTATCTATTATCTTTTCTCATTAAACAAAATTTCTACTGTAGTTACTGAGTATGAGTATGACGCCTTTATTTCTTTTCCCTAAAGTTGTAACATTCAATATAATACATAACTTCCATTCGGATTCTGCTTGGTACATTCTTAAAATACACACTGTAACTTAAAAAAAGAAAGAATTATAAATGTATATAATTAAAACAACATTCCATTCCAATTCAATTCTATCATTAATATTCATTAAAATCTTAACATCTTTAACATTACTTTTCAATTAAATATCATACTTCTATGGGAACAATTATAAGCTTTCCATAGTTAATTCCCCCACCCCTTCACTTATATTTTATAAAACATTAACTAATTAAAATGTTGCTGTTCCTTCCTAATTCAATTTTCTCATTTATTTTATTTCACTTATTTTATTCACAAACATTTCACTAAATTACACTATTTCATCCCTCATTTTAATCATAAGTTGTTTCCAATTTTCTAAAGTTATTTCTATTATTAATATAACAATACAATCTTATGTACGTTTACAGAATCCCTTTTTCAGTTAGATTTTCACCCATTATCTCTAAATAGGTCCTGTTTCTCTATATCTTGCTCCGGTCCTTTGTAACTTCTTTTCCTTTCCTTCTTCCCTCTCTTCTTCTCTCTCCCCTTTTTACCCCCTTGTCTCTCTACCTCTATTTCTCTCTTCTGTATTCCCCTTTTCTGTTGCTTTCCAGTATTATACTTAGTTTTCGAATTATTTTTCTTTTCTTTGGTTGTTTTTTTAAGTCTTAAATTCTCCATTCTCTTTCCCCCCTTTCCTTTTTCTTCCCCACATAAAATTGCTTGTTCATTAAAGATGGCTTCTTCTTTGTCCCAGTCTTCTTGTTTTGCAGTCGTTTCTTGTTGTTTCTCATAGTTCCAAATCTCCATTTCTAAGAATTGAAAAACGAAGCCAAAAGAACCCTTCCCTTCTTGTGCATCTTCTTTGTATTTTTTAAGTTCCATTTTCAATTCATCCAGAAGTGGTGCCATTGTATAAATTTTTAAACAACCACCTGATTGATTTTAGTCATTCAAATATAATAACCAAGAATCCAAAGATCACCAAATAATCCAAATACACTTTCTCTTCCTGGGGTTACTATTTAGTTGCAAAGTTTCAGTTAAAATGTATCTTTTAGAAGTCTTGTTGAAGTTTTACTGTAGATTCTTTTTAATTCCAGGCAGTCTCCTCCCTCTTCCAGACCCTGCCCTTATTCTTTTTCTCTCCCTTCCTGCTTATGAAAAAGAAAATTTTTAATGTCCAGAAATCTTTATTATCCCTTTGGCATTTTGTTTTATTTTCAGCTTAATTGCCTATTGATGTCAAAGCGGATTTTTCTGATTTCTTAAGTCTCTTAGTTGTCAGTATAGGGAAGGAGAGAGAAGAAAAAAAAAAGCCAAACCTTTCCCTTTTCACTTTCCTTCGCTGCTTCCGATTCTTCTTTGGGAGCGATGTTATTTTTTGTAAATTTAAATTCCAGGGTACCTTAGTTGTTGCTTTTACAATTTAACCCGGTCAGCCAAAACTTTCACTTCTTATCTTCCTCCTGCACATTCTTTTTCAATCGAGTTCTCCTTTGTGGTGGCCATTTCTGACCACCGCTGGAACCTCCTTCGGGAAAGGGAGTAATGACCAGCTGAGGAGGAGAGATGCGGCTCTCCTCAACCCTGCTGGCAGTCTTCCCCCTCTTCACCACCTCTATGGGGTGGCTTAGCCCTGAAACCAGCTGGCTCGGGGGCGCTCCAGTGGCGAGCCCAGACAGAAACCACGCACAATCGCAGATTTCTGTCTGTCACCAAAGCCCTTCAAACCGGAAGTCTCCAAAACCTGTAATTTTTTTGTTGTATGCTGCTCAGAGTCACTCGCTTATGAGATTGACAGCTATATAAATTACATAAATAAATTTAAAAACTAGCAAACTTTTTAGCCATTTGGGATACTGGCCTCTAATTCTAAAAGTAGAATACAATGTGAGTGGATTTAGTTGTTTGTCACAAATGCATAGGTGTTACTGCCCAGGCTATCCACGCAGCCAGTCAGCATTCTAGGCTATAGCAAACAAACTTATTAGAAGAAAACTCCCCAACAAGAATTGTTGAAATAAATACATCCCACCCGCCTCCCTGCATTTCACAATCTAACTTGTACCCAACTCTCACTTGTCTGGTTTGAGATCCCGGTGAACAATGCCGTAATTGTGGAGGTACTCAAGGGCCAGGACTGTCTCAGCAAAATACATCCGGGCCATGTCCACAGGCAAAGGTCCCATGTTCTTCAGCAGTGTGGCACAGTCCCCACCTAAAGGAGATAGGATGTCAGAGAGTCCACTACATCAGGCATGATATTCCCCTCTGAAAAAAAAATCGGGGCCGGACAAAAGAGACCCTGCGGCCCGCGCCAAGAAATCACACACAGAACACCAACGCTACACACCCTTCCTTTCCAGCCGGTCAGGTGTGGATCAACTCCGGAGCTGGGCAGCCGCTACCCTGGTGGCAGGGCCGAGGCCGCCATCCGGGGAGCGCCCGCTGCTTTCCCTCGCCAGGGCCGGGAGGTGGTGTGTTGCCCTGCGCCGTGTGGCCCCCGCCTGGCAGCGCGCTTCTCGGCACGAGGCAGCCGGGTTGCCCAAGGAGCCCGGCCGGCCAGGCGAGGGGAAGGCAGCGAGGGCCCTGCCGGGCTGGGGCAGAAAACCCGCTTGACAAGGGGCCGGGGAAGCCTGCGGGCGGAGGACCAAGCGTACTGAGAGGCAGAGATTCGGCCGAGGCCGTCAGACAGAGAGAGGGCTGGTCTGTGGCTGCCCAGCTCCCTTTTCCTGCCGCCTCAGCGGCCTCTGCTCGCACCACCTGGGCTCCGCTCAGGTGTCCAGCTGGGGCTGTCAGCAGTTGCTACCGCCGGCGTGGCTCCGCACAGCTCCAGTCCTGCGTTGCCTTGGGAAGGGAAAGGCAAAACCGGGAGCCGCTGCGCCTGAGCCTCCAGTGCCGCTCCTGCCATTGCAAAGCGCCGCCGCAACTCTTCCTTTTTGCCTTTCCCTTCCCGAGGCAACGCGGGACTGGAGCCGCGTGGAGCCGCACCGGCGGTAGCAACTCCTGACTCAGGGGGCCTCCGAGGGGAGGGGAAGGAGGAGAAGAAGGGGGGGGAGAGGGGGGGGGGGGGGGGGGGCGATTCCCCCAAAAAATCGGAATTCCGATTTTAATCGGAAGAATATCATGTCTGCTACATGTAAACCAGGGTTGACATCTAAACCAGGGTTGTCCAACCTCGGCAACTTTTAAGACCTGTGGACAACTCCCAGAATTCTGAAAGTTGAAGTCCACAAATCATAAGGTTGCTCAGGTTAAACTTCCCTGATCTAAATCTTTTTTTCAACTTATCAGGCTAACTAACTGTCTTTTAGGCATCAAGTAAGCAGATTTTATTTAATTTTGTCTTTTATATTGTTTTTTTAATCTCTTCCCCAAAATGCCCATTTTAATGGCAGTACTTTTATTGTCTAAGATGGCGATCCTTTAATGTTCTTAAAAAGATTCCAGTGCTTTGTAAATTTTTTAAAATGGAAAACATTTTACATATGCTTTTTAAAAGTATCCTGCAGAAATCAAAGGGAAAATCTTTCTCCCTCCTCCCCCTTCACACACTTAGAAAAGCCAAAAGCACATCTCATCGTGCCAAATAAATATATTTGGCAATACCTCATTCTTTTATTTAGTTTTCCAAAATGAGGTTTTTAAAGTCTCTGACTGAGATTTCTTTGGCAGAGACCGCTAGGAAAACTTTTTAAGATCAAGAAACAGATTTTAGGCAAACTGAGGAGGGTTTGGGGAAGGGGGACGAAAATGTCAACCACTTCAACACTGCACTTCCAATGCAAAGTCCAAAACATCAATGATGCTTTTGAGACTTTGGCAGGCTTCGTACAACATATTTTGCAGACTTCCTTTGGCAGCTGTTTGCCAGGGATATAAATGTTGCTTTTCAAAGTTTGCCAATCTCTGGATTCCAAAACTCTGTAGCCTTTTAGGAATTCAACACATACAATATAAAACCACAGAACTGTGGAATGCTCCATGCTCTTCTAGAAATGGATATTAAATTCAAGTCAGAACCAGATTTTGCCAAGATGAAGTTCTTTCTCTTTGGAGCAAAGGATACTAGAAACTGCCCGATACCGACTCAAACCACTGATATATCTACCCCATGACCACCTCCACAAACTAACATCAACCATCATGGAAAAAAGCCTCTTCCAAGTTTTGCCACCCATGATCCCTTGACTAGAGATCTTGCCTTAAAACAGACCCAGGATTTCTTCCATGCAGAGCAGCTGCTCTTTCCTGAAGATCTTTGTTGCCAGGTTTTTCTATCTCCACCCACGCCCATCAAGATATGTCCTTCTGCAACCCTCACCTTCCACATACTCCATGACCATGCAGAGGTGACACCTGGTTTCGAAGGAGCAGAACATGCTGACCACAAAAGGGTTCTCCGCAAAGGTCAGGATGTCGCGTTCCACAAAGACTTGCTGGATCTGGTTCCGCAACACCAGGTTCTGCTTGTTAATCTTCTTGATGGCAAACCGTTGGCGAGTCTCCTTGTGCCGCACCAGATACACAGCCCTAAAGAAACATGGAGAACTACTGGGCAACTTGGGGAGACGGGAACATTGTGACGTTTTCTACCCCATTGTTTGGACCTCTTGGCAACGCGTTGATGTAGGTGAGGCTGATAGATAGTGACTGTCTCAGTTCACCATGGCCATAATGAGGATTAATTCGAGTACAGGTAGTCCTCGACTTACAATGATTCATTTAGCAATTGCTTGAAGTTACAACAGTATTGAAAAAAGATGACTTAGGAAAGGTCCTCACACTTAATCGCAATAGTACTTAGACTTACACAGGCAGCCCTCGACTTACAATCACAATTGAGCCCAAAATTGCAGTTCTTGAGACATTTGTTAAGTGAGTTTTGCTCCACTTTATGACCTTTCTTGCCACAGTCATTAAGTAAATCACTGCAGTTGATAAGTTACTGACCCAAGTGAATCTGTCTACCCCATGGACTTTGCTTGTCAGAAGGTTGCAAAAAGTAATCACATGACCCCGGGACCGTTCAATGGTCATAAATATGAACCTGTTGCCAAGCATCTGAATTTTAATCACATGATTGTGGGATGCGGCAAAGGTTGGTACTTTGAAAAAAATGGTCATAAGTCAATTTTTTCAGAGCAATTGTAACTTTGAACAGTTGAACTGTTGTAAATCAAAGACTATCTGTATACGCTTCACAGTGCTTTACAACCCTCTAAACAGTTTACAGAGTCAGCATCTTGCCCTCAACAATCTGGGTCCTCAGTTTAACATCCTCAGATGGATGCAAGGATGAGTCAACCTTGAGCTGGTGAGAACCGAACTGCTGGCAGTCAGCAGAATTTAACAATCCTCCACCTAGCTGACCGACCGGCAAGCCTGTAGCTATGCTATTTAGTATGGGAACATCAATCTCTAGATTGATCTCTCACACCAAGTTGTAGAAGATTGCTGTAAGCAGTGAAACAGTCCCAAGGATCGAACTGCTGGCAGTCGGCAGTCAACAGAATTAGTCTGCAATATTGCATTCTATCCATTGCGCAGCCACGGCTCAACAATTTAACAACCATTATAGCATCCTCACAGTTACATTATTAAAATTTGTACCAGTTGTAGCATCCTGGGGTAATGTGATAGCCATTTGTGACCTTCCTAGCTGTCTTCTGACAAGCAAAGTGAATGGGGAAGATGGATTCATTGAACGGCCATATGAGTCGCTTAACAACCGCAGTGACTTGCTGAGCCTACTCACCCGTAAGCCCCATTGCTGATCAACTTGATAGTTTCAAAATCGCTTTCGCAGGGCTTCCTCCGTGGAATGGGGGTAGAAGACTGGTTCTACAAGAGACAGGGAAAGTGAAGGGGAACACATATTAATTGCAGTCTATATAAAGAATGATATTTATTGACCTATTAACAAGATTTGTGGCTTCATTTCTGAAATAATAAGGGACGTGGTGTCTCAGTGGCTAAGATGCTGAGCTTGTAGAACAGAAAGGTCGACAGTTTGGTGGACTGAATTCCTAGCACCGCGTAACAGAGTGAGCTCCCGTTACTTGTCCCAGCTTCTGCTAACCTAGCAGTTCGAAAGCATGTAAAAATGCAAGTAGAAAATAAGGACCACTTTGGTGGGAAGGTAACAGTGTTCCATGCGCCTTCGGCATTTAGTCATGACCATGGAGACGTCTTTGGACAGCACTGGCTCTTTGGCTTTGTAACGGAGATGAGCAACACCCCCTAGAGCCGGAAACAATTAGCATGTATGTGTGAGGAGAACCTTTTTACCTTTCTGAAATAAGTAGCATACAAGAATATAAGGGGGTGGAAACCCTCATTTATCCCAATATGATGGAAGAACAAAAGAGTTAATATCAAAGAGCTCAAAATCCTATATCCTAGGGGGGATTAGAACCATTCTGGGGACCAAACCCAGCTCCCCATCAGCCCAAGTCAGAAGTATGAGAAGGGCAGACAGAGATGAGGAGGGCAGAGTTAAATGTACCATTAGTTTAGAGGCCTTGCGTTCAATAAGGACTCCAAATCCAGCTGTTCTGAATACCATTGACCCTTATCTGGTACCAATTCAGCACTGAATCTTAGTTGACTGGATTCTTGGTTATAGGCCTGAATAAATTTTCTATGCTGCAATTTTTGTGCCTGAAAGAAGCAGTATGATCTCAAAGAAGACCTTATTATTAATATTTCAATGAATGATTACTGAACTATTTTAAATGATGATGACAAACTGAACTGGATACAGATAATCCTCAACTTACAACAGTTCATTTAGTGACTGTTCAAAGTTACAACAGCACTGAAAAAAGTGACTTATGGCCATTTTTCATATTTATGACCTTTGTAACCTCATGTGATCAAAATTCAGAAGCTTGGCAGCTGGTTCAAACTCATGATCATTGCTGTGTCCCAAGGCATGTGATCTTCTTTTGCAACCATTTGACAAGCAAAATTGATGGGGAAGCCAGATTCACTTAACAGTTGTGTTACTAACCTAGCAGCTGCATCAATTCACTTAATGACTGTGGCAACAAGGGCCATAAAATGAGGCAAAACTCACTTAACAGAAATTTTGGGCTCAATTGTGGTCATAAGTTGAGGAATAGAGAGAAGAAAAGAGAACCTCGGTGGCGCAGTGGTTAGAGTGCAGTATTGAAAGCTATTCCTACTGCAATTTGGCAGATTGAATCCCACCAGGCTCAAGGTTGACTCAGCCTTCCATCCTTCCAAGGTTGGTAAAATGAGGACCCAGATGGTTGGGGGAAATAGGCTGACTCTGTAAGCCGCTTTGAGAGGGCTGTAAAAGCACGATAAAGCGGTATATAAGTCTAAGTGCTATTGCTAATGCTAATACCTGTATTGATAAACAGGCCTTCAAGGATACCCGAATGGTAAGTAGATTTATTGTAGGAAAGCTGAAGAAGTGCCATATAAGTATTCCAGTGACTAATACACATCAAATACCAGTTCTTTTTATACTGAAATCAAAGTTCAAACTCCTGTGCTCTTTTTCCCCACCCACATAATATAATGGAGTAGAAGCCACTCTGGAAGACAATTTGTGTACTCAGGGTTGAACTTTTCTTATGAATGTTTCATTATCTAACCAGATAATTATACAACTAGGTAGAGTGTCTAACTAGCAAACCCATTTTGTTGGGTAAATTGCTTCTGTGTCTCATTTTGTTAGCAGATGGATCCAGTATCATGACGTTTGCTTATGACAATGTGAGTCCTTAATGTTAAGGATTTTTTTAATGAGAAAAGAAAAATAGTAAATTAACAGTAAATGAAATAAAATATCAATCTTGATTACATCTGGCCCTTTAGGAATTTCAGTCTAGAACAGGGGTGTTAAACTCAAGGCCTGTGGGCCGGATCAGCCCGCAGGGTGCTTAGATGTGGTCCACGGGGCTGACCTGAAAACAGCAAAGGACTCTGCCAGTGAAAATGGAGCTTGAGAGGGCCTCCTGAGCTCCCTTTTCACTGGCAGAGGGTTGCAGGAGGCCACCACAGCTGAAAACGGAGCTTGGGAGCCCATTTTTGCTTGCAGAGCACTCAGGCCACAACAGGCGCCCCGACACGAGTGACGTCGAGCTGGCCACACCCATCCCATTCACCTAAGGTCAAACATAACCCTGATGCAGCCCTCAATGAAATCGAATTTGACACCCCTGGTCTAGAGTAATGTTTTCCTCAACCTTGGGAACTTTTCAACTCCCAGGATTCCCCACTGAGGTGGCTGGAGAATTCTGGGAACTGATGTCTACACATCTTAAAGCTGCCCAGATCGAGCAACATACAGTTTTAGAGAAACGCCTCACAACAGACTAGAAAGGGAAGGCGAACATAGTTTTACCTCAGGAGGTTCATCTTGCTGCTCTGGGCCTGCTGGGGAAGGGCAGTCAACTTGATCAAACTGCACAATTTCTGGGGAAGAAAGAGAAGCGCAACTGAAAGCAATGACGAATAGGACATTGACCTGTTTCTCATCTGCCTTCCCTGCTGTTTGATGGCCACAACAATCTTGCCTTTTCTGATTGGCAGAGTTCTTTCCACTATCTATGATTTAAACCAATTGTGAGGTCCTTGGCATGGGCTCCGAGCTTGGCTATTTTCTTGCAGACATTTCATTATCAAACTAAGCAACATCATCAGTGCTAGAAGGGAGTAGAGTTTTGGTCTTGGTTTATATACAAGTGGCTTGTCCTATCAGCGTTGGTGGGAATGGTTCTTAGTGGTTCTTTGATTAGGATGTCGTTTACATTGTTTGTTTGTTTGTCTGAGTTGATAGTTCCTTGAATGGGGCATTGTTTACTGCTTGAATGTTGGTCTAGTATTTAGATCAAATTAAATTAGAGACGCTGCCTGCAGCAAAGACCAAGTGATGCATACGAAGCAGATGTCACTGGACTATTTATTTCATCCAATTTTTACATACTGCTGTGCTCCAAAAACTAATTCCAAGTGATTTACATATAAACGCTGTATTGCCAGGTTCAAACTAGAAAACCTCTTTTTTTCCTCACCTTCCAGAGGGTCTTTGGCGAGTCCCAGTTGACTGATAATGTAACGTGGAATGTCTGTTTTGATGCCTTGTCCCACTTTCGCATGACCTTCGGCTGCCTCCAGGAGGTGATAAAATTCTTCCGGGTCAAACTCCTGGAAACCGGAGAAGGAAGAAGGAGCGGAGAAAATAGAAAACAATGAGCCTTTTCATAATAAGGTTTATATTAAAAATGAATGAAATTCAACAAAAGTCTTCCTCCTCCACCACAAACCAAAGGCTATGGAAATGAGTAGGTCTAAAATAAATCACAAGAGCTCTCCTTCTCTGCCTGGACTTCTCACATTTAGGGACTGTTACTGTTAACAATCCAGGACGGTCCCCTTTCATGAAAGCCAATAAACGGTGAAATCTAATCTGTAATAATGTCATGCACTCTGAGAAGACCAAATATTTTTTTTTCTCTCGCACTCAATTCTGAGATACAGAGCCTCAGCAGGAACAATGCCATGGTAGAGGAAGCAACAGCTTCCTTGGCTCAGAAATCAGAAGACAAAAGCTTATCTATAAATACCAAAGATTACAGTTTCCCTGTCTCTGCTACATAAACCCTGCCTAGAACCATCACTCATCTCAACTCTGAGCCATCTGGAAAACTCAAGCTATCGTCTCCTGGTGCCATCACGAGAAACGGAGACATTTTCAATTCCAAGAAAGCTTCCATTCCCATACTTCAGCCTGTTTGTAATTATGTGCTGGCCCCAATGAATTCTCAACAAGGATCCATCTTGCACACATTGTCTTGCAAACATTGCCAGCAGCAACAAGCATCCAGAAGTAGACATGAGGGCTTTGTTAGCTATTGATTGTTAATAGCCAGTGACAGCCTCTCCAATTCCATGTATATGTTTCATCCTTTTTACTAAAAGAAGTTAAAACACAAGTGTAGGCTGCAGCAAACTAAGATAATGCATCTACTGTACATTTAGCACTGTTTTTTAAGGATAGTTAGCCAGAGTATTTTAAATTCAGTAAGGCTAATTAAGGAATGCTCAAAATTTAAATTTTAGAAAAATAGCTGGAACCATGCATGTTTAATTTTAGCTCAGTTTCAAAAAGCTCCAGGAACTGTTTTAGGGACTTGCAGAGTGCATTCTCAAATTGCGGAATATATCTATCAAATCGCCACGAAGTCTACATGGACCTTCCAGCTTCATAGTAAGAAATCACGGTTGCAGTAAGAGAAGAAAAGCAAGATTGTTACCTTTTTGACTTGCTTGTAACGTTCCAGGGTAGGGGTTCTGCAAACTTTGCAACTTTTAAGACTTGTGGACTTCAACTCCCAGATTTCCCCAGCAAGCATGGCTGGCTGAGGAATTCGGGGAGTTGAAATCCACAAGTCTTAGAAGTTATCAACTTTGGAGACCCTTATTCTAGGGGGATCTGGCTGGCCATTGTCAAATGATCAATTACATCATAGATTTTCAATCTGACCCACAAGGACCACGAGGAAGGTTCAGTTTACATTCACCCTCAACTCAAGCAACTCAGGCAGCCATCTCTACTGTTCCACACAGAGCTTTGGGGTCTACATGAGAGCTTCAGCAGAAAAATGATCTCTCAAGGCTTGCGCTTGCTCTAGACTAGAGCAGGTAACAGATAATCAGAGTTGGAAGGGACCTTATAGGTCATCTATTCCAACCCCCCACCCAAGCGGGAGACCCTACATCATTTCTAACAAATGGCAATCCAGTCTCTTCTTGAAGAGTACGGGTGTCAAACTGGTGGCCCACAGGCCAGATGTGTCACACACAGACCCACCCCAGCTCTGCGAAGGGGAAAAAAACATTGCGATACATCACGTAATGGCAACGTGATGCCATGAGTTTGATACCCGTGCTCTCGAGGATGATGGAGATCCTGTAACCCTTTGTCCCTTCCCACCCAGCTTAGGCTGAGTATAGCAGATAAGTCAGCTTCATGCTTACCAAGCACTCCAGCAGCCGAGCTGGCCGGGAAATGATGATCAGTAGTTTACGGACCAACTGTTCGATGAAGTGCAGTTCCTCACTCTCAGAGCGCTCCTGAGCCTGGCAGAGAGCGTGATGAAGAAGAACTCATAAGCATGACTGAGAAAAAAAACTCCCTAGGGAAGTCTGGATCGGTGGGGAAACAAGAGAAACTCACATCTCTTAGCATTTTCTCCAGCTTCTCCTGCAGTTCAATGAAATAGCGGGAGGTAATGAGGGCCCCTTGGGACTTGTTGAGACAGTCACGGGCCAGTTCAATGATCTGGTGGTGGATGAATCCCAGTACACCATCAGCCAAAGGCAGGATGCTGCTGGGCGAGAAAGCAGCAATGGTCTCTGCCAGGCGCTCCTCCATCTGGGCAGTGGCCTTTGAAGAGAGGGGAAAGAGGGAGAAAAGGAGAGGGGTGACTGTGCGATCCAGAAGCTTCAGTTGGGATCCACATACAATTTTCAGTGTTAAGATGATCCCGCCTCAGAAGAACTAAAAAGCTCAGGATCAAATCTCTGTTCCATCCTTTGTTTCTCTTGCATCCTTCCAACATTTGCGCAAGCTACTTGTAAAAATAAACGTGAACCGGGAATGAAGGGCCAAACAGTTCCTTCTGAAATGTGTTGCCCGAGGCACCAAAACAGTGAAATATCTTTCCCTTGGATGGTTTTCATTCATCTTTCTCTCATTAAAACATGCTTCAGTTCAACAAGGTTATGGCTCTTAAATTTCTACAAAACTCCAACAACTGGAAAAGAGAGGAAAGCCACAGAAGCACAATACTCTGACTGTGGTACCCAATGCTTTTTAAAATACAATTAAATATAATTTATTTCCTTTCGGTGCTACGGGATGTGGAGCCACAATGCGGGATCTAGATTTTAGCATGGCCTACAGGTTATTCTAAGCTAAACCGATGGGCCTATGGTTCATTAATTCCAAGAGATAAAAGTTCTTAACAGAGCCTTACCTTTGGGAATCTCTCCTTGTATACATGATTCATCATTACCACCTCATTGTCAAAGGTCCCACTTGTCCGCCCAGGGCTGCGAAAAGAAGAGGCAACTGCTGAGGACATATCCTAAGCATTCAAGCAAGGCAGGAATCAGGAAATAGAAGAGAGCTTTAGTAATGCTCAAGATCCCCCAAATGTCTTGCTTTAGCCAGGATTCCCATCTTTTGAATGTGTCAGATTGATAATAATCTAAGTCAGAGAACCTTTATGTGGTGACTAGCTTAAACCACTGAAATCAGAAGGAGAGAAAAGAGCATTGTCCGATTTTGCTTCCTCCTTCCCTAAAATGCACCCTAATGGCTCAGCGCTGGACTCTGGCCAAGCCATGACTAAAAAGGAATCCAAGGATGATTCTTTCCAATGGATGTGACTTATGGGTTGTTCAAAGAGCAGAGTTGCTCTTAATTAAATTAATCAGTTGTGGATTGTAAGAAGCACAAGGGAGCTACTAGAATATTTGTTCTGTGTGACAAACATCCCTGGTTCAATCTCTGGTAAAACAAAGGCAGGCATGGCGAGAACCAGTGGTGGTCAGGGCAAAAATCTTATAAAAGTTGCACTCAGCTTCAAGGCTACTGAACACTATGACATTATGTAAGAATCCCAGCAGTTACTGGGTATCAAATGCAAGCTGTAGTGATATTGAAATCCAGATTCAAATGCTTGTGCCTCCTCTCTTTGGACAACAGTTTCCACTTATCTGTTATTTTGATGAGCTACAGTGATACAGTGGTTAGAGTCCAGTACTGCAGGCTACTTCTGCTGCCTGCTGGCTGCCTGCAATTTGGCAGTTGGAATCTCACCAGGCTCAAGGTTGACTCAGCCTTCTATCCTTCCGAGGTCGGTAAAATGAGGACCCAGATTGTTGGGGGCCAATACGCTGACTCTGTAAACCACTTAGAGAGGGTTGTAAAGCACTGTGAACCAGTATATAAGTGCTGTTGCTATTGAGAGGAAGACAGCCTCCAGTTTAAACACCGGAGACTAAGCCTTCTCCATCTTTGCACGAGCAAGGGGCCACTCACTCTAGGTAAGGCTTTGCTGTATTCTTATTTAAGGGATTCTAGTCTAGTGCAGCCCCATCTGACAGTTTTCAGCCAAGCCAAGCAGAGGAGTCAAGTAATGTCATGAATTACATGCATTACAATAAATCGGTGATTTATTGCTCAATCTAGGTAAGGAAATGTAACAGACAGTGACTCAAAGTTAAAAACCTCTTAAGAAGCAAGTGATGAACACTGGAGCAGGGAAGAAAAAACTGCACTTCAAGGTAGGTTCACCTTTTTTAAAAAAAATATAGGGTTAGAAAGTTCAGGTGCAAAATGGATGCCTTGTAAGGGGTAAAATGAGCAAACCTTTAAGACGCTTGTTAAGGATGGTTATGTTATTCCCGCATAAATTCCTTCCTGTGCAATCCACTTAACACAGGTAGTCCTTGACTTACATCCGCAACGGAGCCCAGAACTTCCATTGTAAGTTATGATGGTCATAAGCTGAGGCATCCACGGCCCAATTTGATTACCTTTTTTTTTTTTTGCTGCAGTTGTAAAAATCAACACAGTGGCCGAAAAGCAAAAGCGGCAGCTGTTAAGCAAACACTTAATGTTCGCGAAGAGAGACAACGCATACCTATTCGCATTTTTGGCTCTAAAACCCGCCATGAATCATGTCACATGACTATGGGATGCAGCAGCTAAGCAGAAAAGGTGCACTAGTTGGCAAATGCAGACATGTGACCCTGGGAGGGGGTGTGTATGTGCTGCCACTGGAACTCTGGGATCAAGTCCTAAGTACCTTTTGTACTTGTCCACTGTAAGTTGCTAAGTGACCAGACATTAAGTAAGGACCACCTGTAGAACCTTCTCCTAATTTCATTAGAGGTGTCATTCTGAACCATCTAAAGAAGAGACACCTGTCCAAAGCCAAGAATACCTCAAGCTGCGGGACCGAGGACGAAAATATGGTGAGTGGCGTCCGTCTTCTCCTGGGACGCTTTCGGTGCTGCGGAAGTGCTTTGACAGGAAGTGCAGTTCATCAGGAGTAGGTTGGTAGGGCAGTTGGTGGAGACGCTCCTGAGAGGAGGAAGACGATGACTGGACAAGAGAAGGAGAACAAAGATGATAGACCAACATGAGAACGAAGGTGAGTAACTCTTGTTCTGACACACCATCATGGAATATTTTAATATCTGCAGAGGAACCAGTTGCCTCAGAATAAACAGGCAGCTGGAAAAACTGAGGGAGGGGGAAATGTGGTATTTAAGAAATAAAGTGAAAAAAGCCACTTCCTTTCATAGGAAGATAAGCTCTTCCTATGTTAACTCTGGCAACTGCAAAGTTTACATACGTTTAAACCTTGGTTTCTGCGGGGCCTCTTTATCTCGACCACCAGCACTTCTGCAAGCAACTTCTAGGCCTCTCTCAATATCCTCTTAGCCTGGCAGTGGTTTTTTTGTTTGTTTAAAAAGGCACTGAGATGTTAAATTCCAAGACTGAGTTCATATTAAATTTTCCAACAGTGACCAAGACGCAGAACCAAGTTTTCTTTGGAATTACATGTTTAGCCATACTTTGATGCTGATAAGTTGATACGTTTCTAGCAAATGCTTGAGACAGCTAGTGAAACCAGAAATAAGAACAGTTCAACAGCACCAACTTAAAAAGTTCTAGCACACTAGGTTAATTACCACCTTAGAAAAGTAAGTAGGAAATGAATATTTCCAGGAAAACAAGACTACAGATCAACAGACTTGGAAGGGACCTTGTAGGTCATCTAGTCCACCACCTCCACCAAAGCAGACCTTACACCATTTTTGATAGATGGCAGCCCAGTCTCTTCTTGAAAGCCTCCAGCGATGAAGCTCCCACAATTTCTGAAGGCAACTTCTGTTCCATGGGTTGATTGTTCTCACTGTCAGAAAATTTCTCCTTATTTCTAGCTTGAATCTCTCCTTGTTCAGTTTCCATCCATTATTCCTTGTCTGGCCTTCAGATACCTTGGAAAATAGCTTGATTCCCTCCTCTCTGTAGCAGCCCCTCAAATATTGGAAGACTGGTATCATGTCTCCCCTGGTCCTTCTCTTCACTAGACTAGCCAAGCCCAGTTCCTGTAACCGTTCTTCATGTTTTAGTTTCCAGTCCCCTAATCATCCTGGTTGCTCTTCTCGGTACTCTTTCTAGAGTCTCAACATCTTTTTTATAGTGTGGTAACCAAAACTAGATGCAGTATTCTAGGTGTGATCTTACTAAGGCTTTATGGAGTGGTATTAGTACCTCACTTGATGGAAAATAGATTGTTGCTAGTTGCCATTCATCCCAACTCCAAAGAAGGGTCTGACTTAATGGACTTCATGTAGCACACCCTTTTTTAATCTCATGCTTTCTATATGAACTACAATGATAATTCTTAAGATTTCCTAGGCTATAAAATATGAATCTGTCTCACTTTAGCACAGAATCTGTCCATAATAAGATGCCAGATTTATTCCACGCTACTTACTGAAACAGTAGAACTGGGGGTGTTGGTCCCATAGCCGGATGAGGGCAATGACGCGAGTGACCACCTTCGGCCATCAGCTCTGCAGAAACAGAGGTAGAAATTATGACATCAAGTCTCGGAGAACAAAGGATTGCTATTTAAATCCAATAAGTGCGCTGTCAAGCTGATGAAAACAATTGGGAAGGACTAACCTGACTGCTCAAATATAATCTACAACAGAGGTTCCCCAATACCTGGGCTATAGACCGGTATCAGTCCGTGTCTTGTTAGGAACTGGGCTGCACAGCTGGAGGTGAGGGGTGGGCAAGAAATATGTATTTGTAGCCGCTCTCCAGTGCTAGCAACGCTGCCTCAGCTCTACCTCAGATCATCAGGCATTAGATTCTCACAGGAGTACCTACTGTAAAACTGCACATTTGAGGGATCTAGGTTACACACACACACACCCCCGTTGAAAAATTATCTTCCACAAAACTGGTTCCTGGTGCCAAAAAAAGTTGGGGACCACTGATCTGGGGGAAAGAAGGGACTTTTTCCCTATATACATCAAGGTCCCTCTATATCCCCATATCTTCTCTCTTTCAAACCCAGTCAAAATACACCGCATATTCGAGATCAAGCAGAGATTTTTCTGGATGACTTTTCCAAAACCCTTTAGGTGAATGTGGTGTTCCTAACTACAAGCTCGCCTCTTCTCCCCAAACTGCCAAAGTAACAATGCTGGAGTAAGAGGAACCATCTTCAAGTAACACACACATCCTTGCCTTCCAGTTCCCTGTTTTGCCTTCTTGGTAGCTTCTTTAAAAGATTTATAAAAACAAGGCAATCCAGCATATTTCAGGCTGTGTGGCCCTACACATCAGGCAGATGTCCTGAGGGAACTACAGATGGTTGCCAGGGCTAGAGAATTGTCAGGATTTTCTCCTTCAACTAATCCTAAAGATCGGACTGCTTCTCAGGGTTTCAATCAGTAATGTCCAGTTCTGAAGGATGAATTGTTTTTTTTTGATAACTGCAAAATGTCTATTCTCAACAGAACTCCCAACAGTAGCAACATATTGCAATCAAGAAAATCAAAATGAAAGCTTTATTTTGTTCAGAAACTAGGGAAACCAATGAAGTTTTCTTTTTATTTACTTCCGACCCAGCAGCCAAAGCTCTTTAATCTGCAATCTCCAAATCTGAAAAGTTGTTGTTCTTTTAACTTGGGGCAATGGATTTAAATGGATGGTATATTTAAATATACCATCTGTTCTCCCCCCCCCCCCCCCAAATCAAGGCGATTAATGGGAGAGTCAGACTGTCTGTTCTGGGTGATGGTTTTCTTATGGGTCATGACTCAGTGTGAAATTTTTGCCCACAAAAAAAGTAGCGGTCATCTTTTATTTTTCATTACCAGCTCTGTTTACAGGGCCGCTCTATAACCAAGTACTTAGCACAGTCCCTAACAGAACAGAATGGCTCAATAGATTTAAGAATCAATCCTACGTGATTTCTTCCCGTTGCTAAAGTTACCTGTCAGTTCGAGGAACATGGCTTTTTCCAAGGCATCATTGAGCAAACAGGAGAAGTAGAAAAACAAAAGGAAACAGGGAAAGAAAAGGGTGGGGAAGGATATACAATTAGGAATCACAGGAAAACGCCTTCCCTGGGTCTGAGGGCATTTTTCTAACCCCCCCCCCCAAAAAAACCCTGAAATTAGAAAAAGTTATACAGTGTATACTTTAATTTGATTTTTAATGTAAAAATTGATTGGCAAGCAAAAGAACGAAAGGCCTAACAGCTTGCTGTCGCTGCTCTTGGGGAAAAATAATTTAATTCATACAACTGTCTGATTTTTTTTTTCGATTTCCAGTTCAGAAATGAACTTGAGAAGGAATAAAAATTCCTGTTGAAAGTAGGCTTAAAAAGAGCAGAGTATTACTAAGTGGTGTTACTAAGTGTGTAGAAGTCAGCTATGATAATTTCAATACAGAGAAATCTATTCTGCATATATGTCAGGCACGAAGAATCAGGACCACTTGTAAGGTTGTGGCATGTTCAAGCCTATATGCAAGAATCTGGTCAACCAAAGTGCAACACTAAATTGGCACCAGGTAAGGGTCAATAGAATTCAGGAGAGATTAGACTTGGAGTGATCATGGGAACGCAAAGACTCTAAGCTGATAATGCACTTAACTCCACCACCCCCAGCTCTGCTTGCTCTTCTTCTACTTTTATTTTGATTCAAACCAAACTCTTTATCATGAGAGATCTTTTCCTCCCGACAGTCACAAGTAAATGATGCTTGGCAAAGAAGAAAACCTGTAGTTGACAAACTAGAAAGGGCTGACAGTTTTTCCTCTCTGAGCTTCTTTACTCGTTTTGCTATTATGTTTTGGTTTAATATGTTTGATAAACATAACCTTATTACCTGGGAACCATCTTCAAAACATACTTTTTCTTAAAATTCATTATATGCCTTTAAGGAACAAAAACTTGCTGACGCTTAGCAAAACTGGATCTAATTCTGGAGAGGAGATTATCCTGCACAAATAGCTGCTTTGAATTCCACAATGGAAAAAGAAGGGAGAGATAAATTTCCACTTCTAGGCAAAAATGGAGATTTTCAAGGCATTTATATAATAACATAAAAGTCAGGAGTGAGTAAATAAAATACTTTTCCAAATTGTGAAGACCTAGTATTTTATTGCTTTCTCCCCACTTTGCCAAACATTGAAGTGGAACTCTTTTTCTTTTAGCCTAGATTCACTTCCTTCCATCTTTCTTCTTCCCTGGTCCCAAGAAGCTTCTGTGGTCCCTTACAGCAGACTCCCTTGATTCTTTCCACCAGATGTGGCCACCTAAGAAGCTGTGATTTCTTACCTGCGAGCAAATGGAAAGCTGGCAGAGGCACCTGTGGAGAAGTTGCGAGGACTATCAACTGGACTACTACTGGCTGCAGAGGAGAGGGGGCGATTGGACAGGGGCAGGACAAAACAAAACAATGGACTTTTATTAAAGAATCAAAGGGTATAGAAGAAAGCAAGAGATCTTGAACACCACTCAAAAGCTAAAACTTGGGTAGGAATGGTTGCTTCAAGATCTATTCATTAAATGCCTCTATTCTAGGAATCTATGGAGATTCTCAGTCATCTATGGTTGTCCCAAAGACGTTTTTTTCAAGAAGCAACTGGACTTTTTGGTTTTTCTTTGAAGATTTTTCTCTTCTCATCAGCTCTTGAAATTACACTGACTGCTGGTCAGTTTCTCTGAGCAATTTAAGTGCTGATTACTACTTGAAAGTCCTACGTGGCTCAAGACCTGATTATCTCTGAGACTGCCAACTCCAATGTGAATCTGCCAACCATGTAGATCTTGGAGAGAGGTCATGTGAAGGTCCCATCCCATGAGTTTTCTACCTACAGAGAGCTGGTCTCAGGATTTTCTCACTGTGGCCACTCCTATGGTGGGACAGCTTGACCTTTATCTTCCCCGATAAAGAACATTTTGTTATAGACACTCCCTAATGAGTCCACAAAAAACATGGCTCTAGGAAAAAGCCTAAGGGGGAATATTAGATGTTGGTATCTACCTATGTTACTCAGTGCTATTATAATATTAAATATTCTTTAGCTATGTTAATCTTCTAGGGTCCTTTTTCCATATGTGCCACTATGAAACATTGGGAGTTGAGTAGCATAAAACTGCTGGTAAGTAAGTGAATAAATAAATATTGTAAAAAGTGGTCAGTCTCTGATTTTATTGGATACACACGCACACTAATTTTCTCACTCAATAAAATATCCATCAGAGCAGAGGAATCAAGCATCTCATGGAAAAGAAAATTTATGTCAGCCCAACCCACTCATAGTGACTCCAGGTGGCTTACAGAAATAAAACCCCGATGCAAAACTCAATAAATATCCACTACCCACCATTCCTCACCCCTGGTGACAACAAGTAAATCAACCACTTGATGGGCTCCATATCATCCTGAGATCTCCAGGCCCCCTGGCAAAATAAGGACCTTTCGAAACAGAATCAAAAGGTGGTGGTGGGGTGTTTTCCAATCTTATTTCCACAAGGATGATATTCCACAGGGAGAGAGCCACCACAGAGAAGGCCCTTCTTCTTGGTCAAACAAGATGGACCTTCTTAAGAGGGGATCTATAACATACCCTCCTCCCCACTCTGGTGGTTGGAAAGATATAAAGATGGTCCTTCAAATAACTTGAACCCAGGTTATATGATGTTGGCCATCATGTTGAAAATAATACAAGAGATTATTTAATTAGGACTCTCTTCCCACAACTTAGAATGCAGTACCAAGATATTCTTCACCAGAGACCTGAGTCCAGCCTAACACTTTTCATGTCTTGGTAGGGATATCTGTCCTCTGTTCCCCCAACAAAGAAGCTTTCATAATTAGGCATACTCTACCTGTTGGCACAGATAGGGGTGACAAAGGACGTGAGAGGGTAGGTGAAGGAGTTCCAACCACTAGGCTCTTCCTGTTGCTTCGACAGCTGCAAAAGCAGAACAAATGATATCATGCCAGGGACAAGATTTCATAGCAGCAAGTATCACCCAGAACTCTGGGGTAGGAAAAAATCAGAATATTATGGGCGTTAATGATATATTCTCAACTCCCAAGGCTAATGGAATGAATATTTAAAAGGATACTGGCTGGGGAATTTTGGGAGTTGAAGTCCCAAAATCTTAAAGTTGCTGAGGTTGAGAAGCAATGACCTAAAGACCATGATCATGACAGTAAGCAAATCAATGAAACATTTCGATGCAACAGCCGGTTTTTCAGTCAATTCAATAAAAAGTTATGATCCTGGCACTAGGGTGGAGGAAGTCAGTCTCTGTTCCATTTGTTGAAAGAAAATTAAATGGGAAGTGTGAAGACACAGGCCATTCATTGCCTGGAACTAGTGGCAGACAGCACATCTGCCTCCAGGACTTCAATATCAACCAAAAGATTCCCCCCAGGAATGCAATGGAAAGTCACAGTCAGAAGCATCAGTCAATGAACTTGAGAAAGGAAGTGATTCACTGTTGCCCTAAGCACAATTCACAATGACCTGGGATCCCTTTCCATGGCTGCTTGGCAAGATCAGGGAATGAGGAAAGTGGGAGCGTCCAGCCAGGAGGAAACAGACGGCACAACAAGGCAGAGCCGTTTTGCTGACCTGGATCAGGAACTGGACATTGGCTGGCCATCAGGAGAGGTGTAAATAAAGGCTGTCACAGCTGGACATGGAATATATCCCCCATCCAGCAGCAAATGTAACAGCCAGAAGACAAAAGGAAACAGAGGCATCATGGGAATTTTTTTTTTTTTAAAGCAGAGATGAGGCAATCAAACCATGCACAAGTAAAAAAAGGGGGAGATTTTTAATTGTGCAGTTGTGGCCACCATCTTGACTTTTTTTTTTATCCTAAGATACCACTGAAGTCCACGCATCTTAAAGTTGCCAGGTTGGGGAAACACTGGTTTAGCTATTTTTATTTTAAATAATTGTAAAACCATTTTTCTCCAAAAAAAAATCAGCTATGAAGTAAATATATTGATAAGAGAAAAATACATGGAGAGGAACCATACTATTGTTATAATAAGGATCTTAATCACACAGGGGACAATCCCATTATTGCTAGCTAATTGGATGATTCTTAAATAAAGTCTAGTTTCTGGCCCATTTCTTTAGCAGAGAACCAATATTTACACAATATTGACCCAAGTACAGTATGTCATTTAGCCATGTTTAGGTCCTTCACATACACATACACACACTACACACAATACTGCTCATCCTTACTCATCAGTCTCTGTGTTTATGAAATCAACATCCCATTTTTGATTCATGATTACAGTAAAAGTGTGACAGAGTGATGCCATGGGGAAGATAAGATTTCCTCAGGAGCAGGTTAGACATAGCTATATATAAGAGGAAACACTCCCTCAGCCTTGCTCAACCTCCTGTCCTATCAGACTACATTTTATGTGTTTATTTATCAGAGTTTGAAACACTCTATCACCCTCACAGAGGGACCGTGTATAGTGTTCAATAAAATATGAAAACATAAAAACAGTATATAAAACTTAATTTTTTTAAAAAAGGCAAGGATTATTATAAAAAATGTTAAAAATTCACTAAAAGGCGAAGTTCAGGGCGCTAACCAGTCTCACGACTGCATGTTCTTTTGTGCTTCCCAACAACCCCACAAAGCCATGTATGTTTTCACCCCCTTCCAGAAGGCCAGGAGAGTAGGAGCCTGCATCACCTCTGAGGGGAGAATGTTCCACCGAACAGAGGCAATAGCAGAGAAGACCTTCTTCCTTGGCCCCACCAGTCCAAGTTCTGGACTTATCATCCCTGCCTGACCAGGTGGGATGGATCGATGTAATGAGACGAAAACAGTATCAAAGGTAGACTGACCCCATCCATGTACAACTTTAAAGATTATAATCAATAGCTTGAACTGAACCCCAAAACAAGCTGACACCCAATGCAGCTCATGCAGCAAAGTTATGAAATGCACAGTTCTTTGGGCACCCAAGTTTGTGTTTGCAGCCACATTCTGTTACCAGAGACATGGAGGATAATGGGACTTATAATTGAAAATACAACACATGCTAGAAAATGATCTGGGTTTTAAAAGCTCTGAGTTTAATTCTCATCAGTAGAAGATAATATTTTTTTTATTTTGTATTTTTTTTATTTATTTGTATCTCAGGGTTGAGCTGTGCAGTTCTTGGAGCTCTCTGAGCTTGGTTGTCTTTAATTCTCATTATTTCCATGTTTAAAAGCCAGCCCGGCTGGTAAAAGCATCTTTCTGCCTGAATTGCGAGAGCTGTTGCTAATCAGACCAGATTATACTGGTCTACGCACACCAAGGCAGCTTCCGGCCTGCCTGCACTCCACATGGCATCTGTGATCCCTCCATCAATTTGTTAGAGGTGGGCTTTTTCTGCACAAACCCCTTTCATTAGCTCTGTTAAGGGTGACTTTAAATGCCCAGGACCATGAACAGCTGCATCCCACAGCTGCAAAGCAATTTTAGGGAGTAAAAGTCTATCATTTCTGTGTCACACCCTGACTTGGGCTCACTAAAAGTCAGTCTAGAGAAAAGCACACAGCAAACCTTAAAGGAATCGCTCCACAACTCGGGACTGAATCAAACAGCACTGCAAAATTGTCAAAGGGCATTAGAAAATGCCCACATTCAAACTCTGCCCCTGTAAAATGTAGATACAACGAAACCAATTACATAACAGGAACAGGAACAGGCAGATCTTGCAGAGACGATTACAGATATGAAGATGACGTTTTACATGGGAAGAATGTTCTCAGATACAGAAGGTGAAGCGGAGAGGGAAGATCATGCAGAATTGAGGTTGCTTTATAAAGGGCTGCTTAGCTGCCTCCCCTCCACAAAACTGAACTCTTCTGCCCAAAAGCACATTTCGACAACAGGAAGTGGTGACTTTCCCCTTGCACGTTGCAATCGCTTTAATCACAAAGACATCATTCCAAGCGTGATGGTTATTAAAGATGCTACAGGCAAAAGGGGATTTAATGAATTCCTCTTCCACAGGGATGGCAGGCAGAAGAAGAAAAGAGAGCTAGTCCATTGAAAAGGATATGAACAATGGGGGTGCGGAAATAAAAATTGCTGAAGCAATTAAGTAAATAAAGGTACCATCTTTGTGAAAGCCCCTCGAAGAAATATAAAAGCGTTTGCACCTTTTTTGTTTAGCAAAAGACATAATACATGGAATGGATGAAATCATCCCTGATTTTATTTCCATTTGCCATGTAGTCCCTGGCATCTGCCCATTGCAGTGGAACAAAATGGTCATGTAACCCACTCAATTTTACGACCTTTTTTGCAGTGGTCATTAAGTGAACCCAATGGTTATAAGACAAATGCAGCAGTCGCTAAATAAACCCACTGTATCAAACTAACTTCCAATTTTCAGCAAAACCATCATATAATTCAGTCATATGACCACGTGAAGCTGCAAACAGCCATAAATATGGCCATGTTGCTGAGTGCCCATAATGTGGTCACATCACTGACTGTTGAAACTTCAGAATTGGATTGTAACTCCTTTTTTTCAGGTATGCTGTAACTTCCGATGGTTGCTAAGCAACCAATCATATGTAAGTCAAGGACTACCTGCGTAATACTTTAAGACTGACAGACAAGCAATTCAGAATCAACAGCACGTCATTCGTTCATGGAATTTACTGCCATGAAAAGCAGTTACTCTATAGATAGCTTTGAAAGGGTAGTTTAAACCACAGAACCTCCATATTATTTAAAAGCACTCTATCCCTGAGTTTTAGCAACTAGGATGGTACTGTAGAAGACCTGGTTCCTTTTTGTCCTTTTTTTGAGACTGTTCTAAGAGATAGATAAGAAGAACATTGAGAAGAACAGAACCTTTCAAAGCTCGAACCCATACAGGTCTTAAAATGCTTCCAAAAACTCCGCCAAATGATATTCACATACATTTTGGTCCTGAAAGCTATGAAAGTACCAGATTCAGAAGAACTACTAAAATGAGTGCTCTAAGTAGATCTGGCTACAAGGCCTCTTTTGGAGGCACCCAGAGGGATCTGGCAGGTTGACCGTGTTGGAAATAGTCGTATCTTGTGCACACAGAGCCCAACCTCAAAACTTAGATGTGTTTATTTATTTAATAGACTTATACAGCTGGTGCCCATTCCAGCTGTTCATAACAGCAATAAAACAAAAAAAGAGTAAAAAATAAATAAAAGCAAAACCTGGCATCTCACCTACCCTTCTCTAATGCTTCCAACAAAACTATCATCAGGCTGCAACCTCATTCTATCCCAATGCTTGGAAAGAGTCAGCTCTTTAGGTCCTTTCAGAAGGTTAAAAGGGGTGGGATGGGGGGATGTTGAATCGTAGAGGAAGGGCACTCCAAGAGCAAGAACTGCTACGGAAGAGGCAGGCATCCTAGATTCTGCTAGATGGCAACGTTTAAGAGGAAGAAAACCAGGAATGCACCCATAATTTTCAACCTGGTGTGATAGGCAGAGAGGGAACGGCAGCTTCAAAGATGATCTTATCCCATGTCATGTCAGGATTTAAAGGGGATAACTCTGAATTGCAACTGGGAGCCAATGTAGTTCACAAACAGCAGTGTAATATGGATGAAGCAAGGGACACTGCATGTTATGCCATATTCTAGACTAGTTATTTCAAGAGCAGCCGTATCTAGGGTTTATTGTGGTAGTCTAGGCAGGAAGGCATGATTGATCATGAACAAGGCCTCTTGGTCCAGGAAAAAGTATAACTAGCATGCAAGATAGATGCAAAGTCCTCTCCCCAACCAGGGTTGTCTCCTGCTCCTTGAGCAGAAGCCGCAAGTCCAGGAGAGGCCTTAGATTATGCACCAGCCCTCAGATTGTGCACCAGCGCTAGTCAGAGATAACACATCACTAGATCTTGAGAAAGGACTAAAAACCCAAGGGGTTGAGTCAGAGCT